AGTTCTGGTTGCCAACTTCTTCTGCCGCTTCAGCATACCTCGGGAGTTGCACAGTGACCAAGGCCGTAACTTCGAGTCTCATCTACTGAAAGAAGTTTTGCAATGCCTGGGAGTGAGCAAGACGCGCACCACACCCCTGGACCCACAGTCGGATGGAATGGTGGAACGCTACGTCAAGACCATCGAGGAGCACTTGCGGAAGGTCGTCGGATCGCACCAAAGGGACTGGGATGAGAGGTTACCCCTCTTTCTCCTAGCTTACAGGGTATCCACTCACGACACTACGGGCCTGACCCCTGCTGGCCTAGTGTTTGGACGAGAACTACGACTACCCTGCGACTTGCTGTTTGGAGTACCCCCTGACACAGAACAACCCACAACCGACTATGCAGCAGACTTAGTGGATCATCTCCATGACATCCACAATTATGCCCGGCAACACCTGAAGCTTGCCAGTGACCGGATGAAAACTCGGTATGATAAACTGGCCAACTCCGCAGTTTATGACGAAGGCGACCGAGTCTGGCTCTATCACCCAACCCGCAGAAAGGGGAAATCGCTGAAACTACAAGCATCATGGGAAGGTCCTTACAAAGTAGTGACCCGGATAAATGATGTGGTTTACCAAATCCAGAAGACCCCTAGGTCGAGGATGTTGGTTGTACACCTCGACCGTCTCGTGCCTTATCATGGAGCTGCTCGAGACGAGCAACCATAAAAAGGGGGAAGATGTAGTGGTTTGAGAGCAGAGCAACGGGGAGAAGAAAAACAGTAGAAGGACACAAAGAAGATGCTGCAAAAACAGCCTCCAAAGAAAAGGAACGGGGGAAGCACTGTTAGGCTATTCGGGACGAACAGCCTTAAGGAGGGAGCAGTGTGACATGTTGCGCAACGGAGGACCCCTACCTCCCCAGCGGCACGTGGCGGTAATGTAGCGCTCCCTCCCCCCACTCCCTCCGTGGTGACGTAACGCGCAACGCGCAGTGACGTAAGACGGCGCAAGGTAACAGCGTTGCTAGGCGTGACGTGGCAGGCGACCCTAGCAACAGCAAACGGAATAAAAGCCGGCTGAGCAGCAACTGAGAGTCAGTGTGTTATCAACGAGTTCTCAGTTCACAAGTTTCGAGCTACAGACACGTGTGCGAGATTCAGTGATAGTTCGTGATAACCAGTTATATTTGGAGTGTGTAATTCAGCGAGACTTGTATAGCTCCCGCGCTATTAATACGTGAAGACTCTGGAAGATAGTGTTAAGAGATTTTGTTGTAGGGTTTGAAAGTGTGGAAACCCGTAACATTGTGATAATTAATTGTAGCCGATATTTGTAGATTGTTCAATAAACCAATTAACGATGTCTATGGCGTATTCAGTAACGCAACGCGTTACAATATGTTCATGAAGGGAGTTGATAGAGCCGATCAGTACTTGGCCTATTATTCTCTTCCTCAGAAAACAGTAAAGTGGATAAAGAAAGTTGCCTTGTGGCTTATAAATTGTGCCATTTTCAATTCATTTTTGGTTTTCAAAAATCTAAACCCTCATTCAAAATTGAAATACAAGGCATTTCTGCTGAATGTGGCAAAAGCCTGGGCTACAGACCACACGGTGGCGGCAGAACCAGCGGCAGACACAGTCCTAGTACGACCAGGGCTGTCTACTCCCACCCCACGCAGGCCTCATTTTGACCCCCCTGGGCAACTCTTGGGCGATATGTGGAAACATACCCTCGCGAAAATTGTGAAGAGTGAACATTTCAAGAGGAAGCAGCCTTCTAGGCAATGCCGTGTTTGCACAATTCACAAGAATAGGAGTAGGACTGCCTACATTTGCAAGTTTTGTGTAATGCCACTTCACAGAAGGGAATGTTTCAAGAAATGTGACACCCTCTAGCACTTCTAGAAGCATTGGTAAGTGTTCTAAAAAAATTTTAGTTCATAAAATTAATTAGGAGATTTTATATTAATTTTTAAATTGAACAGGGCACAAGTTAGGGTAGTAGGTATAAAAATGCTGGTCCGCAGGGTGATTTAAATATTTAAATTGCCGGTCCGAGAAGTGTTAATGTTCAGACCAGAGCACAAATTTAGAATTTATTAAGGCTGGTAGAGGGTTAAACAAAATCCATGGTGTACAGTAGTTACCTCTGTCTGATGTATGTCATATCAAGAATGATCTGATAGAATGAGAAGATTTGTCACCATTGCTTTTCATCATCACTTTAGAATCCATCATGCAAAAGGCCAATAGAAGAAGGAATTGGAAGTGAATGTGACACTTGGATGTTACAAGCAAGAGTCAGGAAATAGGTGACAAATGGAAGTCAGACAGCCATAATGGATGTAATAGGTTTTCTGTGTTTATCACTAGGTCGCAGCACATGCATATGCGTTTTCAGAGGCTGGTTTCAGTAGTCAAAATGGCAACCATGCTTGAAGACTGTACTACTGAAGAGCAGTGTTCTGTTGTGTGTTTTATGGGCAAATGGACTCAGTGCAAAGGATATTCATAAAGAAATGTTTCCTGTTTATGGTTGGAAGTGTTGGTCGTGTAAAGCAGTTCACAACTGGGTCAAGAAAAAATATTTCAGGGATATTCAAAAGTTGCAGATGATGCCTGACCAGGTCGCCCTGTTGAGATTGTGACAGATGCAACTGTGCAGTGGGTGGAAGAGATGATTTTGAGTTGACAGGAGGATAACGATAGACATTGTAGCCACTGCATGAATGGGGGAGAAGAGAAATTCATATAAGATATTGGTGGGAAAACCAGAAGGAAAGAGACCACTAGGAAGACTAAGACGTAGGTGGGTGGACAATATTAAAATGGATCTTAGAGGTAGGATGGGATGGTATGGAATGGATTGATCTGGCTAGGATAGGGACCGTTGGAGGGCTCTTGTGAAGATGATAATCAATCTTCAGGTTCCATAAAATACTGGTAACTTCATGAGTAGCTGCACAATTTGTGGCTTCTCAAGAAGGATTCTGCTCCATGAGTGAATGAGTGTGTGAGTATAACACTCTGTCCTGTGCTGCTTATAGAACATTCCTCCTACAGGTGTTTGTTTATATTTGGATTACTTATTTGTCAGTATATTGTGACATGATGCATGAAAGCTGCAATAGTGGGGTCGAAGTCAGGCGTCTATTTCTAGACAGTGGCTCTGTAGTCATGTTTCCGTGGCAACGAATATTGACATGTTACAACAAATAGCAGAGAAGGCATCCTTGCCTAGATAGCAAGTGTAAACATGTTGCCTTGACAGTGTGTACATAAACAAACAGTTGCAAGGATATGAAAAACAGCGCTCTTCAGGGAGGTGATTCCTATCCCAGCTGTCTGGCAGGAATAAAAGGAGGCCAGTTGAGAAGCCATGAGTGAGAAGTGAATTAGTGTGCTTTTGAGAGACAGACATCATTTAAGCAAGTCTAGCAAGTGTGATGTAAGGAAGTGCGAGTGAGATCCAGATTTTGAGAAGTAATTTGAGAGGCTACAGACCCTTCAAGATTCAGCATGTTTCCAAGCAATCAGACATTGAAGACTTTGTTTTTATGTCTTATAAACTGAGAGTGTTACAATTAATTGTAGTTACGACTTGTGAATATCCAATAAATCGGTTTGCCAACCCAAACCCCCTTGTGTGAGTCACTAATACACGTGACAGTATTATGTTGAGTAAGTACCAACTTAACATAATGTATTCTAAACAGCAACAGCACATAACAGATAACAGCTGTATGACGGTATGTGTTTAAAATTCTGGGCTAATGTCAGATTTGAGGTAAAGATCCATGCATACTACATCTTGGCACTAGGTGAACCTGTTGTGTTGGCATAGCATTAATGCCATAGTCCTGTATTCAAGAGGTACTTAATTTAAATCTCTAGTCAAGACAGTGACTATCCTGACACCTTTCAGTCTTCTCAGGAAGATGCCTGAATAGTACTTTCATTAGGCCATGACTTTTTCCTTCCAGATCCTTTGCATTTATCGAGTCCTGTGATTCAACATTATATAATTGAGATACCATTAGTGCTGTCAGATAACCCGCAAAAGAAAGAAAGTTAGTCATTAGTTCAGACTTTATTTTCCTGAGCAAACAGTCTCAGGTGGCTAGGTGAGCCAGGTTCATTCTTCATTATTCACCTTTGTTTACATACAGTTTTCCACCATGTGTAGGGTGATACACGTGACGAAATGACGGGTTCTAGTTCAGATGATTGAATTTACTTCAGTTACACACACACACACACACACACACTCTTAATTATACTCACATACAGGCAATACAGTGCTATATCTGATTTACACAATTTTAGAGTTCACAATTGCACACACTAGGATTTTCTGTCTTCACTAGTCATGTCATAGCAATGGATCTCAGCACAGAAACTATGCTATCACTTCAAATCATGGCAAATATTATACATAAAATCTTCCAGTCATGCTTTAAATCCTCACAGGCCGACCTCCTGTATTCTTCTGTACTCTGTTCACATGCTTCTGCCACTGCTATTTCTCTCTTGTAACTCTAACTGAACTGAACTGAACTGAACTGTCACAAACACTCACTGTCACTTCTAGTCCAATCCCTTCTTGTGATTCTTCTGCTACTATTTCTCTCTTATAGCTCATAACTAATTGCTAGCTGAACTATGACATTCACTTATATAGCCGAGGGACAGATAACGCATCACTGTAAACACATGTCACATGATCGCTACCCATTATGGTTGTGTGATGTCACTTCACACACAGGAAACATGTCATGTGACAGCTACCTACTGTTGTGTGACATCACAGCGTATGCGTTTCATAGCAACGGTTCATCCACGGACATAGAAAACACTGTTCCTATACCGTTGGCTGTGTGGATTTTGTGGGTGTTGTCTAGCAACAGCCGATGTTTGCAGATTTGTTGCAGAATGTAATGTTAATTTTTCTAGGAAGATGAAGGAAAATGGTGATTTATTTTTGAAACATATTTCTTATTATACAGGTAATTGCAGTGTGTGACACAGAAGAAAAGGCAGCTTTGCTCAGAGAGAAGGGTGCATGGGCAGCGTTAACTAATGTTCCAAAGGAAATCGTAAAAAAGTGTGCTAATGTAACGGGCGGAGGAGGTGTCAGAGTGGTCTTTGAACCTGTGGAAAGTGACATGTTGAATTCTGTTCTGAAATGGTTAGTGTGCTGTATTCTTGTAAGGTAAACTGTGTATACATAACAACCAGTTCCATTCAAATTTGGGGAAAACCAGTGCAGTGTTGCTAGGATATAGACAAACTGGCCATTGCTAAAATACAAGGAGAGAATGGAGAAATAATAAGAGTGTGAAAGGAATGTAAGAACTGTAACAAGGAATGTTTATCATGAAGGAGAGGTAGGAAGAAAGGGGGAAGAGGAGTGACAGTTGAATGGATAGAGGATAGGAAAGCTATATGGGTGAAGTGAAAGAAGGAGATACAGATATCCAAAGCATAAGGGAAGGGAAAACATATTATTTTTCCCAATCATCATTGACATTTAATGCACTGACACAATCTATAGAATGGATTATCTTCACATTGTGCATCCTGTTGTGTGTTATATATTGTTATGGTTATATATGAGCATTATATGTATGTTGTCATGCTTAATTCAGTGTGTAGTTCACATTAAACTAAGCACAACGTACATATAACACCCATACAGGGAAAGCGCACACACATAATTAATGACTACAAATACATAGTATCATACGAGGAGCTGGAATAGTGCAGTCGATATAGTGACTGGCTACAGGCTAGATGACTGAGGGGTCGGAGTTTGAATCCCTGTAGGCTCAAGAATTTTCTCCACGTCGGCTAGACTGCTACTGAGCTCCACCCAGCCTCCTATCCAATGGGTACCTTGGGCTCTTTCCCTGGGGGTAAAGTGGCAGCTGACCTATCACCTCCAACTAGTGCCAACGTCAAGAAAATGTGGATCTATACATCCACTCCCCCACACACCTTCATGGCATAGTGTTTAATTAGTTAATTGTAGGGACAACATTACCTTTTTACCTTTTAGTAGTGCCATATGACTTTATATCAGTGAACGTGTGTATATAATACTACACACAAAAGCCCCTTACATTAGCTTACATAATACATCTACACATCAAACCCCTGGGTGCAATGACTTTCCACAATGTGGACGCTTAACAACATGGAACCACAAAATATAACTTAATGATGTAACATTACACTATATTGGGCATTTTAACGTTGAAACTTGATAATATATAATTTTTAATACATCTTTTAATACTTTTATTACTTTTGAATATAAAACTGTCAATATACAGTATATTTTTTTAATATCTATCCTAGGTACATTTTATTATATTTAATTATATTCATACCTGAGTCAATGCTGTGAAGGGCTACAGGTTATGACTGAGAATTGGGTTTTGATCCTGTCAGGGGCAAGTGATTTTTCTCTTCTCCATAGCATCCATGCTGGCCCTAAGGCCCATTCAACCTCAGATACAGTGTGGGTGCTGGGAACTGTTTCCCATGGATATAATGGCAGGGGTGCGAAGCTGACTGCTCACCTCCATCTAGTGGTGAGGTTAGAAAAGGTGGAGCTGTACTGCCACTGGCATAGCATTAATTAATTAAGCACAAAGATAACTTTATAGTTTGTGCTGAAATCTTGGGTGATGAGCTGTGTCAGTCTTGAGTTAAAAACATTCATTTCTGAGGTCTCCATCTTCAGAGTCAGTTTGTCAGCTCTGTGGCTCCTCATGTTGGCATACTGTGCAACAGGTGGTTACAGTCAGGTTCATCCATCCAACTCTGGTGTCCCTTGTATCAGTATTTTCTCTTCATTCAGGCATGCTACAAAACATTCACAACAAGGACACCAGGTTAAGTTATGTGGTGATAGGTTAGAATTGAATGGGTGACTGCACAATTTGACTGAGCCCTTCTGCTATGTAGTACACCAATGGGATGGGGCATCAATTTGACAGACTGGCGCGTATGTCAGCGGTACATAGTCATTCGTCACGTCGTCTAGAGATGTTGGTTTTTGACTCAACATTGCCATGAAAGCTTCAAATCTTAAATGTACTTGTTGTCTTTATTTGTGTACAGTAAATTGTATTTGTTGTGTTTCCAGTGTTGCTGCTGAAGGTGTTGCAGTGATAGCAGGTACAGCTTCAGGGCCAGCTCCTGTCATCAAATATAGTGAGTTGCTGCCGATGTCTGTCAGCCTTATGTGTGTGTCTCTTTGGAACTATCGAAGATCCAATCCTGAAGTTTACAGGTGACAGAATACTAAAGTTAAAGATAAGATTGCATAAGGCATATTCTTTAGTATGAAACACTGTTTTGTTCATATTGTTTGGCCATTCTGTATTTCTAGATTGTGAGATGGTTGCTTTTTGTATAAAATTGTTTAGATGCCCTTCCCTTTTTCATCTCCAGTTTCCACAGAATGGATTGGTCTTGCAGTTTCTCTTTAGACTGTTGTTCAGTTTGTAATAAGTTTGAATCCTGACAGGTTTTCATGGTTTTCCTCTGATCTTCTAGGCAGATTCCAGGATATTATCTTGATAGGCCATGATTGCTTCCTTCCAACTCCCATCTTGCCTCACTGTATTTGAATGTGGTCTTCTAGATTGTAACGCCATATAAACATACAGACCTTTCGGAGGATTATGGTGCCTTCATCTTCAGGGTTGATGATGGGGACAGCATTTACTTCTGAAACGTCAGTATCTCTTTACAGCTCCATAATTTGTCAGAGTGGAGAAGGCCATGATCTTGTCATCACCATGAAAGCCTCAAAATATCTCTCTGTATGTGTTAGTATTGTCACGTGTTGGGGTATGTCACACGACAGATAACTTCACGTGGGTCTCGGATTTAGTGAATATTTATCGGTCACTCACTCTTACACACTTTACAATTATTATTACTTGCAACATCGCTCAACTTCTGTCTCTACCTCAATGGTTATACTGTCCTTGGCCGTGGATGGATCTCAACTGTCTTCTGCGACGGCTATCCCAATACTGACTTCTTGCTGTCTTCTATATCGTATGGCGTCTAGGTTCCAACTGACTTGGCAAATGCCTTCAACCATTTTTATAACCTCGGTTGCTGCTATGCAATGAACCCTCGTTATAACCGTGGAGACTCATCTCCGGGGAGATTTGGCATTCACTATGCAATGGCTCACTGTTAGAATTAGAATACCGCTATTGTTACTTCCTATGCAATGGTCTGTTCTAACGTTTCCTTGGAAGTAACCTTCTGGATTGCAAACATGTGACAGTATGTTAGGTGTAGCAGGATTATGTATAGCAGAGAGTTATGTACATTGACATTCAGCAAATTTTATTCTACCATTCACCCAAATTCAGTCACACCATTTTGACCTGATTTGGGTACTTCAGTCATTCTTTGTAGTGATAAACATATTCTCTTTTCCTGCATATGAATGACAGTTTGAGGCAGATGCTACTGATTGGATGTCAATAACACCATGCTTGCTTTTACAAAACTATGAGAGGTTATGGCAGGACGTAACCAGTTGGAAAATTTGTCATAATGACAGTTCAATCTGATAGAGCAATGTGGCAAGATGGGCGGCCTGGTAACAGCCTCAGATCTCTCATTTAGTAAGTGTTGTGACATCATGTATTAACTGTTTTCAAAATTTAAGACGTTTTGTTTAGAAAGTTGGGGTCTGTGAGACCAAATTCAGAAACTATGAAAGTCTCTGATACAACGTGTTTTCTTGCTGATCCGTCACAGGCGGTAGCAATGAAAAGGGAGTTTTGAGATTAGGTAATGTGTTGTTATAATCCTAATTGTGTACATTGTAAATGAATGTAAATTAGGGTAAAGTTTTATGTCTCTTTCACTTATTATGTGTGAGGCCAAAATGTTGCATTCGTGTTAAATACGAGGGTAAGTCAGAAATTATCCCCACTTTCTCCATAACACATCTTTAGGTTTGTCACACTGCCTCCTACGCATGCATTGTTAGAGTTGATACTACTGTGGTCATGTGTTCAAAGTTTTACCTTGATCACATCATTTTCCTTGATGCTGTGACAGTGTAAACATGGCCGCTCTGTTAGCAGTGTGCACCAATGATTAACAAAGAATAGTGATGCGATTTCTCTGGTTGGAAGGTGTATCAGGGGCTGAAATTCATATGTGGGTTCATCACTATAAGCCAGAATCCAAAATCCAGAGTATGACGTGGAAACACCCGGGATCGCAAACGAAGATGAAATTCAAGACTCAAATCTTTCGTGGGAAAGGTGATGCTAACCGTTCTTTGGGACTCAAAAAGGCCTATACTGGAAGACTACCTGGAAAAAGTGTGTACGATAAACAGTGCAAGATACAGTGATTTGCTGGCCAACAATCTGAAGCCAGCAATTCGCACCAAACGCCGAGGCCTATTGTCGAAGAAAGTGTTGTTGCATGACAATGAAGACTCACACAAGGACGGCCAGACCGTTGAAACCATTAACCATTTGTGTTTCGAGGTGCTGGAACACCCTGCCTACAGCCCAGATCTCGCCCTTTCTGACTATCATCTCTTTGGACCACTCAAAGATGTTTTACGAGGTTTTTGATTTTCTGCGGACAGAGAAGTGGGGGAAGTGGTGCATAAGTGGTTGCGCGACCAACAGAAAACCTTCTTCGTGGAGGGAATATGCACGCTTTTGGACCGCTGGACCAAGTGCATCAAAAAGGGAGGAGACTATGTAGAAAAATGAAGTACTTGTTCAACCCCTACTTTTGTATATATGGATTGGAAAAACAAGAGTGCAGATAATTTTTGACTTCCCTATGTATTTAACATGTAAGCATGATCCCATTTCTGTGTCTGGCATCATTAATCTCTATTAATGATATTTGCAATACTGTATCAGGACAAACTGTAAGGGATAGGTTACCCACACCAGCGGCCACTGTTGGTTGCTCACCCAACTAGAAAAGCCATTGTCTGGCAAGACAGTGGCAGTTGTTACAATACCTTTTCATATATAAATGCTGTCATGAACATGTTATGAGCTGGGATAGCTCAGTCAGTATAGTGACTGGCTACGGGCTGGACGACCGAGGGGTTGGGGTTCAAGTCCTGTTAGGGTTCAGAATTTTTTCTTCTCCACTTTGTGCAGACCGGCTCTGGGACCCACCCAGCCTGTCAAATGGGTACCAGGGGGCTCTTTCCCTGGAAGTGAAGCAGCTGGGGTGTGAAGCTGACCACTCACCTCCAACTAGTGTCGAGGTCAAGAAAACGTGAGTCTATACAGCCACTCCCCCACACGCCTTCATGGCATAGTGCTTAATTAGTTAAGCACAGGGACAGCTTTACCTTTATTTTATCATTAACATGTTATGCATATAGTATAGAAGGGTTAGATAAATTGGAAAAATCCACCTCATTGGGACTTGAACCCGTGACCTTCTGGCTTGTAGCATAGTGGCTCAACCAACTATGCTACTGCGATAGGTAGTTATAGGGTTAAGGCTGCTCCATAGCTCAAGCGGTTAGTTGCTGGCTTCCCACCGCGGTGGCCCGGGTTCGATCCTGGGTCTGGTCAAGTGGGATTTAGGTTGACAAAGTGGCACTGGGGCAGGTTTTCTCCAAGTACTTTGGTTTCCCCTGCCAATCTTCATTCCACCAATTGCACCACAATCACCCTCACCTATCATCTGGGGCTGGTACAATAGGCCAGAAGTGGCCGCAGCACAAGGGACTTAGTCCCACCCCACTAGCAATAAAAAAAAATAATACATAGGGTTAATATGATTCTGTGGTGGTTTGTGTTACAATATCGCTGTTACAGGCAAATCATTCAAGATGCAGTTGATATGGCAGATCAGAGACTTGTAAATCCAGCGATTGGCCAGAAATTTTCACTGGAGAAAGTAAATGAAGCAGTGCAGTTCGTTCTGGACAAGAAATCTACTGAGAAAGTAATAATCACAATGAAAAAGGAATAATGCAGTTGTAACAGATTTAAAGATGACGGTATCAAATTTTACACAATCTTCATACAAGGTTATGTGGTGAAGCCCACATTTAATGTTCTTTGAATTACCACTTCCTTCAGCATCTTGACAGCTGTCCCACCGTCTTCAGCAATACACAATGGCAGCTGGTTGTATTTGATAGAAAGACTGAAAATAGGAAATGATAGACATGTATCCAGGGAATAGTGAAAGATGGCTACATGCACCATCTAGTGATTGTGAATGAAACTTTAAGCAGATTTACTGTGATAGGCAAATGTGTTTGTGCTATGTGGTAATGGAGATGTAGTTTTATAGTTGAAGCAAGTAATAATTTTATATTTTCACTATATAAGCTGCAAGGTAGTGTGACGTATTATTGTGGTGAATGTAAAAAGCTAATTGAATTATCAGATTTTTTAACTTATTTGTACAAAATGTATATTATTAAAGAAAGGCAGTGCAAATACAACTGTTGTACAGTTGCTTAAAACCTCCCTTGCTACATTTATGCTGCCCCTGACACACAGCATGTGGAAGTTTTCATACTGAAGCACATAACAGAATGAGTACCGTGTGAAGCAGAATTATAAGTAGGATTTTTTTTGGCTCATTGGAGTGTAGAATTGCACCTTAACCACAAAATCCTTATGTGAGCTAAATATGAAGCAGAAATTTTTGAGAATGAATGGTGTTAAAATAGCCACAGTAGCACTGGGTAGAAGTAGATTCCTAGAATTACTTTAAAAATAGTCCTTGTGTACCTTGTGTGTAGTTACAGGGTGGGGCGCAGAAACTTCCTTTTTGTGAAGACGCATTGTGAAGGGAGGGGAGGTCGCAGAAAAGTGGGGATAGGCTCGGCGGACGCAGCAGTCACGGAAGGTTATGTCTTAATACTCCTCAGTAGGAAACATGAGGTGGACGAGTGAGCAGCGTGTATTTGCTGTCGAAGCCTACTTTTCGAACAACCATTCCTATGTGGCGATGCAGCGTGCGTTCCGTACTCACTTCAGAATTAAGCCCAGAGGTCCGGTTCCAGACCGGAAATCGATTGTTTTGTGGGTAGAGAACTTTAACACAACCGGGAGTGGTGAAAAAATCATCAGGACGACAATGGACCATTACGACACCAGAAAATGTGGAGGCAGTTCGACAGTCAATTTTGAGATCTCCAAGACACTCCGCTCGCAAACATGCAGTCGCCCTAGACATATCCAATCATTCAATGTGCCAAATTCTTCACAGACATCTTCAGTTCCATCCCTATAAGATGGTTGTTGTGCAAGAATTGTCACCACGTGATTTCCAGAACCGAATAACTGCGTGCGAAACGTTATTGGAAACTTTACCCCCTGACACACTTGTTTTCTTTAGTGATGGGGCAAATTTTCACCTATCCGGATATGTCAACAAGCAGAATATGTGCTATTGGAGTTGTAACAATCCATGAGGGGCCACTTCACAGTGATATGGTGACAGTATGGTGTGCATTGTCCAGAGTTGGAGTTATTGGCCCTTATTTTTTGAAGAAGACCATCATGCAGTTACTGTCAATTCACAGTGGTATGTGGACATGATTAAAAACTTTTTCGAACCAGCTCTTGAAGAAATGCATCTAGGAAATGTCTGGCTCCAACAGGATTGTGCCACGGCCCACACAGCCCAAGCTTCGATGACAGTTTTGAGGGCAAAGTCCCTGGACAGCTCATCTCACTTTGAGGTGACATCCCGTGGGCAGCGCACTCACCTGATCTAATGCCCTGTGATTTTTTTTTATGGGGATACCTCAAGGCAGAGGTTTTTAAACTTCGCTCCACAAACCTGCTTCAGCTGAAGAATGTTATTCGGCAGGAAGTAGCCCAAATTCTGGTGCACATGTTGGAACGTGGAGAGGGGAACTACAGAAAACGGTTGCATCAGTGCATAGAGAACAGTGGCCACCACCTTCAAGATATTTTGTTTAAAACTACATGATTTAAAACTTTAAAGTATGTTCTTTCATTAGCTAAACATAAATTTTGTCTATCAGCAATAATTTTTCTTTTATTCGCCTTCAAAAAGAGGAAGTTTCTGCGCCCCACTCTGTATTAGTTCTTATAGCCTTTCAAACACCAGTTTCACCTCCAGATGATGATTCTTTTGGTGATGTTCATACTTAAAATGGCAGGCAAGGTGTTTTCATACAGAGAGTCTGCAAATTTAATTCTGAGTAACAGTAGAGTAGAACAGAATAATGGCTTGAATAGTCCCAATTTGTTGGTAGTATGGAGTTGGCAAAAATGTAACTATATCCTCAAATCAAAGAAAAGCGTTTGTATAAAACTTGTAGGAAGCAACCACAGTGAGATGCCCAGTTTGGTTTGCACCGGGCCTGCTGTAGTACCTACTTCAAGTGTGCTCACAGCTCATGTGTTAAAATGAGTGAGACATTAGAGTTGAAACACAAGAGCATAAAGGCAACACTAATCATTCGAAGTCACAGCTGCTCCCTAGTGAGGACAAACTAAATACAAGGTGGTTCAGATATGACCGGGACTGATTTTTTTTTTAAAAACATAATTGCCAAACATTTGCAGATGTCAGTCTTCAACGTACTCCCTTCCGGAGTCAACACATTTTTTCCAATGTTCTGGAAGCATCCTGATGCCCTTTCATAAAAGACTTGTGGTTGGCAGTGTATCCACTCCCGAACGGTCCGGATGACGGCGTTGTCCACAAACCACATGCCCTGCAAGTCTGATTTGAGCTTTCCAAACAGGTAGAAATCACTTGGGGCCAAATTGGGATCATTATCTTGAAGGAAGGCTACTCGCTTTCCACCTGTCTTCCTCTTGGATCGGAGCTTTTCCTTCATGTCTGTTGGCAGGAGGTCTGAGTCATAAGCTGCATTGACTGTTCTGGCATCCGTCAGAAAGTCTACATGGATAACCCCCTGCCAGTCCCAGAAGAACATTACCATCACTTTTCCTGCTGAACAGCTCCTCCACGTTCTCTTGGGTTTGGGAGAACTGGTATGCCGCCACTCACATGATGACTGCTGGGACTTGGGAATAAAGTAGTGCACCCACGTTTCGGTGGTCACTACAGACTTCAAAAATGCACCACCTTCGTCTTCAAACTGCTGTAGGAGACTGGAAGCTTGCATGCTGGCATTTTGTTCACGTTCGTCAAAGTGCGTGGTACCCACCATGCATTCACCTTGCGATAGTGCAGGTGGTATTTCATGATGTCTTGTACACTACCAACACTGATGGACAGCATTGCTCCAAGTTCCTTGATAGTGATGCACCTGTTCTCACAAATAAGTGCATGTGCACGATCAGTGTTTGGCTCGGTGACGGATGTTCGTGGCTGACGATGATGCGGATCATTCTCCACATGCTCTCTGCCCTCTCTGAAGCACTTACACCACTCAAACACGGGTCCGTGCGAGACACTATTCCCCATACTGTTGTTGGAGTCTGTGGTGAATTTCAGTGGACAGGATGTTTTCTCCAACGAGAAATTTGATCACAATGCGTTGTTCCACGCTCTGCGGTACCTTCTTTTCGCTGATCACTAGCAACTCCCAGACAGGACTGAATAGGTTCTAACCCGAACAGGAGGGAGGGTGGAGGTTCACTCTCTCAAGGTTGCACAACTGCTGTGCAGTGCAGCTTGTTTACACACAAATCAGTCCCGGTCATATCTGAACCACCTTGTAGTTCTAAAACCGTGAGAACATTACCCATAATTGTGACAGTTGTTCACTTTTTGAAATTGTCGCACTGCACTAGATCTTCAGTTAATATATATCCATGCTATTGCATTATTGTTGTTTACACTAAAATACGTTCATTTGAGAACGAAACATACTCTGTTCCATGTTATTTTCCCTTTGTGGTGTCCATGTTTATGTCCCCTCCATATGTATATTCTCACTAGTTTGGCATATGCCCCTTGTCTGAAATAGAAGGATTGATGAATGTAGACATATGAGCGTTAAGAGGCCGTGCAGTCTCCCATGAAAACTAGAATATTTGGATCTACTTGTACTTGCTCCATTCGGTTTTGAGTGCAGATTATTCAAAACTAATTTGTGTTAAACTGTAATATACCTTTGTCACAGAAAATGTTTGGCTGACTACTGGTCAGAGAGCTGGAAACAGAATGGTTATGATGCAAGTTACTACACATGTCCAGTAACCCTTGGTTGTGGTGAGTGTGGGTTCCATTGGAACATTGCAATGGATGCAGACAGGCTCAAACATGAAACTTACAGCAGAATTTTTGGAAGTTAGAACTACATTTCATTAAAATTACCTCACTGGTACGAAACATTTGTATATTTTAGTTTCAGAGTTCAAACAGTCGGCTGTAGTAATCAAGATATCATATTCACCTCAGATGACTGGAAAATATTGAATATCGACCCCCACCAATATGATCACTTGTTATTCCATCTGAGATATGATAAATTGCTCAATAAGCATTTCATTTTGTAAAAAAATTTGTGAAGTTAGATAAAGTCATTAATTTTTTTGGATTCTTTTGAGAAAACTTAACGACATTTGAATCCTTAGTGCTGAAGAAGAGAATAAATATAGTCAGGAGTTATTTAATATGGATGGAAACTTGTTAAATTATACTTTTCGCACAGCCACTGTGCTGGAAGTGTGACAGCTTTCGGACAGTATGGAAGATAGGGTAGCACCAGCAGGATCCGGCCACACCATAGCTCAAGTGGTTAGTCATTGGATTCCCGCCGCGGCGGCCTGTGTTCGATCCTGGGTCTGGTCAAGTGGGGTTTGTGGTGGACAAAGTGGCGCTGGGGTTGGTTTTTTTTTCCGAGTACTTTGGTTTCCCCTGCCAATCTTCATTCCATCAAATTCTCCATCATCATAATCACCCGGGGCAAGCTACAATAGGCCAATCAGTGGCCGCCATGCCGAGTGGACCCAATTGGACTCCACCCCCCACTATGCATTTTTTTACACATAACTAATCAATTTAAATTTGTTCTAAGGAACANACATTCTGCTAATAATCAGATAACCTATTTGAAAACACTGGACTATGAAACAACATCTAATATTGGAATTGTAGTTTCTTTGGCAAACCTGGTATATACGAGCATGATGGAGAGATGAGACGGACTAACTACATAGCAGTATCACTCTGAATGAAGCTGATAAATTGTTTAAGGATACAATCATGATCATCATCATCGGCATAACAGCCCTTCGAGCTGTTACCTCGAAAGATCCTGCCAGACTTGTCTATTCTGTCATGAATTAGATGATTGGATTTTGCAGCAGGAATTTTTTTTTGCAGAGCAAGGTCATCATCCTTGCGTCCAACCTCAAACATGGAGGATCAGGTCTCTGTATTCATGTCCCCCAGTGATAGAGTGGCCCAGTTATACCCCCAGGCACTGGGTTCCCTTTTCTTTGCCATCTTTGACTCGCAGGGTTATGGTGGAGGTATTCCAACCCGCCTCCATGTGGG